TCCACGGCCAGGAGAAGATCATCACCATGCTGGTCTACAGCTACCACGCCAACACCGACCTGAGGGACTACAGCGGGAAGAAGGCGCACCAGTACCTGAGGGAAGGGACCTCCCTCGTGATCAGGCGCCTGCTGGGGGACCCCAGCCTTTCCCAAAACATGGAGCACTCCATGCCCATCAAGAAGTCCACAAAGCTTGCAGCTTCAATCTTGAGCTCCACTAGCACCTTCCTGGGGGTCATATCCGATGACATGGCTTTCTATGATCTCACCAAGGGTTTAAGGAAGCCTTCGACTTTAAACAAGCTTCTGGCTGCCACTACGGGCCCAAGGAGAAAGCCAAAGACCAGAGGGAGCTTCCCTTCTTATTCCTCCCTCTCCGAGGTGATGGAGGAGGAGGAGGAGGTTGTCGTGAAACGCAGACCCGTTTCTGAGCTGTTCTTTGGCCACTAACCTCTGCCTTACTGTGATCAAAATTGTTCAGTACCGTGGCTGCTGTCTCAGTTTTCTCTCGCAGAAGCAGTTTGGATTTCTTCTCTCCGTGTGTGTCATTTTGGATGTTTGACTAAATGGTTGATACGGTCTGGATCCAAAGTCCACAGGATGGAAACCCAGCTCCAGACGCCTGTGGGAAGGGAGCTGCCAGGAAGTGTTGTACATGCTGTCTGCACCATCGTGCAGAGGCACTGGGGGAGACCACAGACTTCATGCTTGAAAAACTAAAACAACCTCTGTGTGTGTAGACAGGTGAAAATGCTCGAGGTACAGCCATCTTGATGTGTGTTCCTGGGTTGGAGAGCAGAAGAGAGGTGAAGGATTGCGTATTTTACACTGTGAACAGCAAGCTGGTAGCTGGCTACTTTAACAGGGCTTGTTATCTAGCAGACTTAAATTATCAGAGGAAAGATACATAGTTTTCTATGATGTTTCTGATTATTTTGGTAGAAGAAGAGGGATATTTCTATTTACAAAAATTGTGTACTTTTTCAAAACAAAGTTTCTCACTATCAGAAATACTAACAATCTCAGTTGTTGCCTTATGCATTTCTTTAGATGAACAACTTAAAGAAAACAGAACCCAACCTTCATCACTCAAGTCACCATGACTTGTCTACCTCAGTTTGGAAGCTTGGTTGGTGTTTTAATTTTTTTTCTCTTCCTGGAAGAGTTTTTGACCAGGTGGTACTAACCACGTCTTGATGATACTGTGAACATGTGACTAGAGTTCAATCAACTTAATCTGAATAAAAACCTTGTTGATAGTGAAAAACTGAACTGAAAAGCTGGGAATCAGAACCTGCAGAGTTTCTAAGTAGCCAACTGGAAACAAAGTTGGGCTTGTATGTCTGATTCTTTTTGTTTAAAACTTGGCCTTTGATTTTGACCTATTTACAATAAATGTTTATAAACAGTGGGCTTTATGTTATGTTAAGTGTTTCATGATGGAATGTCTGCATGACCTCTTGCAGCGATGTTTATCTTAACAGCATGATTCACTGACCTAAAACTAGCTCGTCTTTTGTATTATTAACATAATTGTTCTATGTATAGAGCTACACGTAGCTCCAAAAAGCATGCTAACTGCAGGTTAAGTAGTATATTTGCAGTGAGATTATTATTTTTTTAATTACCATTTGGTTAAAGGTAATGCAGGGAGGCAGAGCTGTGAACAGAAACTGTCCAACTCCTGGGGCCAGTCTGCTAAAACAGCATGTTTTCTCTAAAAATGTGACTAGAAACCTGTATAATTCTGAGGTGATGAAGGTGAGAGCAGTGCTGTGCTGGCTCTGCTTTGCAGCCCCATCGGGGTTTTGGTTTCCACACAGAAACACTTGTTTGCATGCTTTACCTTTCTGTCCCAGTCAGTGACTTCAGGAATGTGGTTTTTTTCTGCCTTGAATTAAGCCTAGTACTTGTAACTGGCTATAATTGGCTTGTCCCAAATGCTCAGCAAGGAATGCTGTAGGACTGAAGGTGGAGGCACTGCCCTCTTTGCTTTCAAGTGCTCTTCCTGAAGTCCCTGGAGTTGGTTGGGAGCGTGATCAGAGCTTGCAGGGAGCTCTGGTGCACCTGTTCTGGGAAGAGACTGGATTATTCTGCACTGGTCTGCTTCTGTATTGAACTAATTAAGTTGTTAAGCAAAGGTTAATGATCAAGCACCTCATGACTTCTATATCTGGAGTAGGGTTTAAAAAAATAAAATCCAATTTGCTGCGTAGCTGTTGGTGTGACTGTTGGCCAGCGTGGTCCTTGGAAGCCTTGATTTGTGCTGCACTGTGTCAGCTCACAGAGTTCCACGTAGAAAAGGGCTCTGTTTCAAAGTGTCTTTCTAAGTGTATGGACATGGAACACTTTTTTTCTGTATTTCCTGGAACACAGAAGTGTGTGTGCATTCCTGTTACCTGAGGCACTGGCAGGGCTGGTGCTGCCTTGGTTAAAGTGTTTGTTTCTGTGGGAATTGCAAACACTCTCCAGTTTGCCTCGGTCTTACGGGGAAGTTTGTTCACTGGTTATGGCTGTGGGCTTGATACCTGTTCAAACAACATCGCTGAACTTTTAGTGCTCCCTCTGAATAAAGCTTACCTGAGCTGGAGGCAGGGTTCAAGGATGGAGTGTTTTGTGTTTAAAAAAGCCCAGCTGACTAACCTGTAAAGCGTGGTTGTGACTTCATCTCCAGGAAAGTCGGGAGGAGGCTTCATTGCTCCTGTGTTGTTCTGTCAAAGAAGTCATAGTTGAGATAAGACTTCATTACAACATGTATCATCATGGAAATTCTGCACTACTCCTTCCTCAGAGGCATTGCAGGATGAGCTGGTGTGATAGGACAATGCCCAGCAGTGCCCAGGGAGTGCCCCAGGCTTGGCAGGAGCATTGGGACACAAAGGTGGGGCACTCCACAGTCGGTGCTGTGGGCTGGGCTCAGGCTCTGCCAACAAGTTTGTGCTGTGACTCAGCTCATTCCTCTTCCTTGTTGAGCAGAAAAGATAATCTCTAGGCAGGCTGGGATTAGTATACCCAGAGCAGTACAACTTCAGGTGTAGACAGGTACTGGGAGGTATCGAGAAGGCACCGCTGTAATCTTAAAAATATATATAGTGCCTTTGGTTTGAAGTAAAACCAGTCTATCAGCTTGGCTGGGTTTTGCTTTCCTATGCTGTCCTTTACACTGGGGAAGGGACTCTGCAGGATGATCAGTGATTGTGGGAGTGTTTTCCTGCCAGAGACTGAGGCCAGGACTGTTTCATGAATCCCTCAGCTTGACTGATTCTCCTTAATTTCACTGTCAAGCCCAAGTCTGGCTGAACACAGTGGAATTTTCACCTGAGTGAATGAGAGCTGAGGAGTTTAGCCAGGATGCTGTCACAGGGAACAGCTGAGGGAGGACTGTGGCCCCCTCAGCAGCCTGGCCTGGGGCAGGGGCTGTACCATGGTGTGCCATGGGCTGGGCATGCAGCCTTCTGAACCCCTGGCACAGCCCAGAGCTGGAAGCTGCCTTCCACTTCATCAAAGCTAATAGCAGGAAAGTTAAAAAAATAACCTGAGCACCCTGAGCTCTGCTTCTGCCCTGTGGAGAGGTTTTAGTGGTGGGGAGGGGTGGCAGCTTCAGGAGGCTGGCAATGGAAGGCACAGATAAGGCACAGGAGCTCAGGTTGCATTTTGCCTTGGTTACTACCCTGCCTACTTGCCACGTCTCAGTTTTCCTGCTATAAAATGGAGATAATCACTTTGGTCACTTCTTTAAAGCACAGTCAGTGCTGCTACTCCAGCTGAAATCAAGATAAGGTTTTTAGAGCTGGAGGCAGCACGAGCAGTGTCATTCAGTGGAGCACCTACACAAATAAAACCAGCAGCACTGGAGATCAGCAGCACTGGAGATCAGCAGAACTAATGTTTGTCTGACCCTGGCTCAGTCTGCTAGGGATGACTTGGTTTGTCTGTTCCTCAGACATTTTGTTCTGACGAGTATCAGCTCACAAACCTGCTCTGAGGAGCTCTGCAAACAAACCTCAAGCTGTGATTCTGCACAGAGGGGCAGACTTTGACCTCCTGGATGTGTTTGAGCAGTGTGAGGCAGCACGGTCCTTATCAGGCTCACAGAGATTTCTGGCCATCCCCATTCCCCTGTGAGTGCTGCAGAAGCACCTGGACTGGGAAAGCCCTGGGAAATGCTCCTGCACTGCAGAGGAGTCTGAACGAGGTTTCAGCTTCATCACAAACCCAAGGTCCCGTGGCAGAGTTGCTGAGTAACTCCAACAGACCAACAGGAGCTGCAGCCACCAGCTGGAGGTGGAGGAGGCCTCCTGAGAGTCCCCTGGTTCTCCAGTGCTCATCCCTTGCTCCTACTCCTCGTGTCTCACCATGACCTACATTCCTTGGATGCATTTGTCTCCTGATTTGCATATTAATCTGAGTAAAATGGTAACATGGCAGTTTTTGCTCTTTCCAGTCATTTGTGCTATTGTGGGACCCCCAAATTAAGAGGTTGTTAACGGGGACTTGGCCAAAGTGTAGCTTGGGCATGAACAGCCTGGTGTTTGTTTGCTGCAGGGGGAGAATGGGGACAGAGCATGACAACACAGATCAAAAACTCTGCCTCCTAATGAGGAGCATTTCTATTCCAGTTCCAAGGTTTGTTTCACTAATTTATAAGACAAAGCAAGTCAGTAAACACATCAAACCCTTATACTGTGTGTAACCCCAAACCAGGCAAAATAGATCCATACTGTCAATATTAGCACAGCTTTAGTATGTCTTCTTCCCCTTCTGGGAGGAAGAAAAGAGAGATGTGCACAACAAAAATGATGCTGCCAGTGTTCAGCTTTCCCTTCCTTGGTAGGAATTCTGCTCTGTGTTTGCCCCACTTAGGGTGTTATTCCTTTTCTTCATCTGAGGCACAAGTTTCCAGCCAAACCCAAACCACCATTTCCCAAGAGAAAAATCATCCATCCCCATCACTTTGAGACCCTCCAGACAAGGTAAGAGACCAGCTGAGAAGCACAACAAGTACTGTGGACTCACTGCTGACACAACCCAAATAACCTTCATTTCCACAGAGTGGAACACAAGTCCCAAAATGCACAAGCCTTTGACATGAGGTTGTACTGGGGTTCCAGGCCCGGCCCTGGTTGTCCTCACCCAGTGCCTCCTGCATGAAGCAGTGGTCACAGCATCAGACTCACCCCCACACACAATGACAACTGCAGTGGAACAGGCACACCTTCTCACCGTGGGTTTTCTGTTGTACTTTCTTCCATCCCTCTCCCACAGGAGTTTCCCCCTTGGCAGCAAAGCAGGACAGCTCCACTCTGGGCAGGGTCAGCCCTGGCTGGAGCAGCTCGTGCCTCCCCAGCAGCCCCTGTGGCCCTGCAGGACACTCACCTTGTGCTCAGGAGGGAGCAGCTGCACCCCAGACAAGGGTCCTGCAGGCACCAGCTGTCACACTGGGAGCTGTCACAGGGATCTTGGGAGGAACTGTTTCACAAGTGGTTCCCATTTGAGGTAGTTTGGGATGTTCTTGCTCTTCCACCATGTGCTGAGCCCATTAGAAAGACCTCTGGCTCTTCATGCACATTTTTAGAAGTGTCTCTTATTCTCTAAATCAAGACTATTTGTGCAGCCCATATTCTCTCTCTGTGGATTTATCTCTGAGATGACTCAGCTTCAAGGCTCATGTGGTATTTTAGAATCTCTCTGATAACCTTTAATGCCTCTCTTTGTTTAGCAGTGAAATTCATGTGCTGCTTCTCGAGAGCCTTTTGTGAACCCCAGAGGTCACAAAATGATTCCTACAGGCTGATTATTCTTTAATGTCTATGTGGGCTCCCTTCAGGCACAGATTAGTTTTGCAATTCTGCTCTGAGTTTATTTTTAAAAATTATTCAGATGGTTGCCATGCATTCCCAAAGCAGAGAGAACATCTTTTTACTTATTAAATGCAGCTCTCACAAGCACCAAATAGATCTTTTGCATAGTACATTTGCATTAACTCCTGCAGCCCTCCATTCCTTAATTAGTTCTACATGCAAAAGTTCCTCAGCATAACATGCCAGTGAAGAAAAATGAGACTGGGGCTTAAAACAAAATAATTAAGATCCTTCAATTTAGTGCCCAAGAGGCTGAAACAGCGGCTCCTGATCCAGCAGTGACTCTCACACATTGCAGTGGGCGTTAAATGAAATTCTAAAATGCCTAAAATCTTTTCAATTGCTGCCAAGACAGATGGGCAGGATGTGCTCTGCTTCCACTGACCACTCCTCCACCCCACACCGGTGCCACGGCTCCTGCTCTGCCTCAGGCCATGCAAGTCATCTCCTGATCCCAAACCAGGCCCAACTTCTTCTGCTCAGCAGAACAGGAGCTGCTGCTGTTCTACCCCCACTGTGCCCATGTGTGGGTGGCCAAAGGAGCTGCAGAGATCTCCTGGAATCCCACCAGCCTTCCCCACCACGGGGAGATCCAGGCTCCTGCATTTTGCCTGTGCCACCTCTTCCTTCTCCTCAGCACTCCTCTTTGGCTCCTCCCTGGGTGCAGCTGTCATCAGTTCACCCCTCAGCTCACCCAGGGCTCAGGTAGCAGTGCTCCAGTGCTGGGTCACGGTACCTCCTACCTGGCATGGTCAGTCCCAGAGGTGCCCAGGGCTGCTCCTCACCATTCATCTGGGAGTAGGGAAATCACTATTTGCACATCAGATGCGGGCTTCTAAAATCACAGTCTGAGTATGTTAGTGTGCCAGGAATGCTGCACATGGCTGCAGCCCAGAGTGAACTATCACCATCACCCTCATCATAAAGCAAGAACAAACCATCAGGATCAAAGTGGAACCCACCTGACAATCCAGATCTGCCCCTGCTTCACAAAGGGGGTCTCTGCTTGCCAGCAAAGAGGTTCTGGTGCCATCACTGTGTCCATTCTCCACTTTATCTGGAATTCACAGTTCTAACAGAGTAACAGGGAGTAAAGAGATGTGAACTGTTTGAAAGCAGAGTACAAGTTATTTCTAACGTTGCTCTTTGAAGCATACCTGTGAATGGTGGTGTGGAAGGAGCAGCAGTCACTCTCCCATGACACCAACCCCCAAAAAGAGATGAGAAGCTAAACAGGGTAAGTCTATTCTTCCCCTTAAAGGCAAGCTCTAGCTTCAATTACTCAAAATTTATTTCCAATCAGATGCTTTTCCCTCAACTAGGAATTATAAGAATAAACTGCACCTTTGAGTCAGGCTTCTCAAACCATGCAAACAGCTCATTTAACATTGCTCATAGTTTTAAAAATTCTCCACTGACTCTGTCAGCATCACTTCTGTTATTTTAAAGACCATTTTCAAAAGGCAGCTTTCAGATTTACGTATTAAAAGCCTGTCTCTAGGGCCTTCTGAGAACCACTGAGCAGATCTACTCACAAGATCTGCAGTGTCTGGCCATTTTCCCCCAGGTATTAAGGCAGTCACCACAGCACACATGGCAGCTTGGTCTCCGTGCTCCTGGAGTTCTTGTGCCCAGTGAAATGCAATTCCAAAGGATAAGATGCCTCAGGACCAGCTTCTGTCAGTGGTGATGATACTTACTGTAGTCAGGACACACACCACTAGTAAAACATTTCTTGGTAAAGCCCAATATCCTGGGACAACGAACATATATTCTGGCTCTGGAAGAAACCTGAGTTCAATTAGTGCTGCCTTATTCATGGTCTAAGTATGTAGCTCAGATGGAATATTGTTCTCTCTGAATACTTACAAACAAGCAAAACACACTCAGATTTTAAATACAGCAACGTCACTGGTCTGACTCAACACACAGCATTTGTTTAAAAGATGTTTGCCAAGGGATTTATATAAAGTCTCTCTGAAACCAAATAACCTCCCCCAGGGCTCCCACCTGCCCCACGCTGCAGCAGAGCTCTTCCCCCTCATCCAGGCTTCCTGTGCACGCTGACAACTGAAAACTACCCAAAAACAACCTCCTGAAGGTGCTGCTTGAAAAACAAGCACTTCAAAAGCACAGCAAGGACTTTGCAAACGACTGTGCAGGAATAAGCTCAGAGTTTATGATTCCCAAAGCCGTTCATGTGAGCTGGCTCCATCACGGAGCGGCTCTTTGATGTCAGTGAGGACCACCCTTCTTCTGACCTCCTCTGAACAGCCCACTGGGATTGCACAGAGCCGGGAAAGACTCAGGGACGGCAACTACCAAGAAAGGAAGTAATTATTTTCTTGCATTGCAGTGCATTTTTACTGTGTCACACACCTGAACAGCAGAAGTGAGTGCAGGAGTTTCACCGACATGGTCCATAACGTTTCCTAGGGCTCTGTGCAATCCCCCACTCAAAGCTGAGCACCCACATCGTTTTTCACTTCAAACATTCAACCCACCCACAGGAGGCAAATATTTGTATGGTTCTTTTATTGAGATTGTGTCAACCTGGGAATAGATGGACAGACAAAAAGAAGGGTAAATACACACCAAGGTAATAGGAGCAACACATCCTATCAGTCATGTCCCCAAGGCAGTTTGCTGCACACTGTGAGACACTGTCAGCTGGCCTGTCCAAGTGGGATACACATCCAGGGTGTGCCTGGAGCATCCCCAGAGCATCTGAGCACCTGCCAGTGCTGTGGCACCAGCAGGGTTGGAAGAACTCACCCCGTGAGCCCTGAGCCATGGGTGCCTGTGGGTTTCCAGGGCCAGGTCACCAACACCAGGGTCTGGGGCGGGCGTTAGAGGGGGAGACTTTGCTCAAGAGTTTCTAATTGTTCTTCGAAAAACCTAATCTGCTCTTCGAGGTCCTTCTGTTCGATCAGCAAGGAGGTCTTGGCTTGAACAAAGTGTCGATAGTCCTGGAGCTGCTGCTCCGTCAGGTACTTGGCCAGGATCCCAGAGACCACCCGTTCCCTGCGATCCAGGTTCTCCTTCAGGTCCTTTGCGTCCTCCCGCTGCCGAGACAGGAGCTTGTGCCGCTGGCTCAGCGAGTGCTGCAGAGTGAGAACAGAGCAGCACCCTGTGAGAACTCAGCATTCCTGGCAGGCTCTAGTTCTTCATTTGGAAGCCACAGTTGATTTAATTTAATTACTTCCTCTTGTGGGCTTTGTGTTCCACTTGAGTTTTTTCTCGATTGAATTACTCATTCTTGTGGCTTATAAGGTAAAGACATGGTAAACCCCAGCAAGGCTCACTTCTTCAATGCTGCCCTCAGGAAAAAAAATCAATATACTTAACATTCTGGGCATTTTAAAGCATCCTGTAGCCATCTTCATTCAATTAGAAGCTCTTTAAGGCACATGTCTTTGTATTTTGTGCATTGCATGTGGCCAGAGTGCCAATGACATATTGAAAAGATAGAGTGACTTCTATTAAAAGGTATGTGCAATAAAATAACTGTGATGTAGAGAGTAACTGTTCATCAAAGGCTTGTTAACAAACCCACAAGAGTCAGGCCTTGCTTGTTCTACAGGATTTTTATACCTTTCACATTTAGCAAAGTCTCTTTCAGCTGCAATGATTGTCACAGGAATAACACTGCTGGAAAATGTCCCATTTCAGGACAGTGTCCATAAATCCAGCACAGATCAATCATTACTATCAACACCCTAAAAACAGAGTCAAAGATTGAGACTGCTGCTTGTGCTGCCACCAGGGCAAATGCAGTGAGCAGGAGATGGTTGTGAAAATGATGGCACATAATCGAGTCTTTATGGGGCATGTTATTCATATGTTTGAATAAATGATTTAAATGTATTTCCTATGAAGAGTATAAATATAACACTTGAGAAACAACACCCTCTCTGCCAACCACAAAGCCAAAGTCTGGATGAAATACTGCTCAAAATTATTCACATTAACACAACTGAAATTTTGGAGGTGGTAAATCCTACTCTCCATGTCACACTGCATGGAAGGACCTTTTTAGTGCTGTTCTGCTGGTGAACTATGATAAACCTCCAGAGCTACAGGTCAGCAGCAGCATAGCTCCAGAGAATCCCAGTTTTTGTAACTGTGCTTTTCCAATTTCCAAATGAGAGATAACAGCAGGTATGGTGTTAATAAAAACGTGTGTAAAAGCAATAAGGACAGCAGGGAAGCATCACTCCTGGGATAAATTTGGCTTGTCTTCTCTAGCAAAAAGGAGACTTTTCAAATTTGAAAAGATTTCTTGGTGACATGAGACAATTCCTCATTTTCCAGCAAAGATGAGTTAAACTACAGGGCATTTTATCTCAAGTTATGAACACATCCTGCTCTCCAGAACAAGCCCATTAAGTGAAGTATGTTTTCAAAGGCAGTAATTACTGCAGTGAAATTACCAGTGGAGAAAAACAAACCCACAAAAAGCCCTGTGAAGCCCAGGTTTGGGGCTACTCCTCAGGGAGCAACCCGAGGGTCCAGAGGCCACCTCTGTGGCCTGGACCCTCGCAGGGTTCTGCTGTTGCCCCCCATCCCCTCTGCAGAGCTCACTGGGCACTCCTGTGCTCCAGCACTGAGCCCTGGCACCAGACCTGCTGCACTCAGTGGGGACACAGCCCTGCCATGGCACAGACACTGCCTGGGACAGGCTGGGTGGGACAGTTCAGCATGAGCTCAGGGAACTGTCAGACAAATGAGGTGAGCACAGCCTGCCCTGGAGAGAAGGGAACCCACCAACTCAGACACCTGCTGGTCCCCACTCACCTGCCCTGGAGAGAAGGGAACCCACCAACCCAAACACCTGCTGGTCCCCACTCACCTGCCCTGGAGAGAAGGGAACCCACCAACTCAGACACCTGCTGGTCCCACTCACCCTCTCCTCGGTGTCCGTGCTGCCGTCCATCCTGCTCATGGCGTTCTGGACGCGGGCCAGGCGGCTGGACAGGCACAGCAGGAGGCTCACGACCTTCTCCAGGTCCCCGATGAACATCAGGTAGCGCTCGAACTCGTTGGGCTTGCACAGGTCCCTCACGGTGTGCTGCAGCCCCTGGCCCCGCTCGGCGCATTCCCGGGATTCCTGCAGGACCAGCTCCCGCTCCTCCCACAGGCTCTGCAGCCTGGCCCGCAGGCTGGCCATGAGCTCCAGCTGCAAAGGGAAAAACACCATCCCAGAAAGCTGTTACTGCCCAAGAGAATCCACATCAGTTCTGGAGAATGGATCTGCTTCCCATCGTCTTTGTCGAATTTTTGATTTCTAAAAGAATTTTAAGCTCCAGGAAAGAAAAAGGGAAAAAAATACAGTATTTCTAAGCCATACTTAATTCTCAGACTCTGAAAAGCAAATCACCTTAATGGGCAATATAATCCCTAGCTCAGCTTCAATCTGTCAGAAGGGAACTGCAGTAAAGATTACAGCGTTACACAGAGTTGTGCTCTAAGACATCTAGGGCACAGCCACAGCTCTGTACAACACTTTGGAAGAACTGACTGGAATTTCATTTGTTACATGCACAGAAAAAGTCAGTTCCATGGGTGATTCAAGCAGGTCCCAGTGCCTGGGTAGCAAAGCAAGGAGAGGAGACTGTTTGATAGGGAAATGTTGATATGGAACAAGGCCTGGAGACCGGAGTGGGAGAAGACCACCACCAGTTCTTTGGAAGCTGGACAACACCACCATGGACAGCAGCAACAGCCAGACGGGGTAATGAAGGCCATCACCACGTGCACAGCAGGAGGAGCTCCAGGAAGGCAGGCTGTCATTACCTGAGAAGGAGCATGGCCAGGTTTCTACAGGGGAAAAAGCCCCTCTGACTCTGCAAAGCTGCACCGTCGCCCTTCCGAGCTCTGTATGTCTGACACAGCTCAGCTGTGACCAACCTACCCCATTCCTGCATGTATGGAATTAACTGGACACTGGAATGTGCAGGAACTGCTGCCAGTTCTTAGAGTAAAAAATATTTCTTATTTAGGCTGCGAGTTGTAATTAACTTTGCAGATCTTGAGACTAGATTTGAGTGTAAAATGGGGAGTCAGGAGCTGGCCATGCAAGGAAATCTTTAACCAACTCTGTGTGTTTGTTCCAGGCACATCCATCCCCAGTGACCTGATGGAGACAAGGATGTGGGATGAGAGATCTGAATCAAACCAGGCAGGATTTAAATACCACCATTCATGACCAATAAGCCAATTTGCCAGGACTTCACTTTCTGGCAAAAATTGACTCAAAGTTACCTGTGAAACATTATTGGCATAAAAATATCCATAATAATAATAATAATAATAATAATAATAATAATTATAATGACATTAATAACAATAACTTTGTCCTGATGGTTCCTCTGATGTCATCTACATACTTTCTTAGATGTGATGTCATCTGGGTCGTTTGTGCTGTCCCTGCTCCTGGTCAGGACTTGGTGTCCCTCAGAGGTAGATTCTTTGCTCCTTCGCTCGGCTTCATGTTCAGATTCAGGACATTCTTTTGGGCCATCTCCATGGCTTTTCCTGCCATTGGAACAGAAAATAAACACCTGTAGCAAACAATGCTTTCTTCTCAAACCTTGTGTTCATGGTTTTATCCATCTTGACTTCAGAATCACTCTCCTCTCTTCTCACAGTAGGAATTTTTCTAATTTTTTAAAAAATACAGAGCAAAAGATTTGCAGCCTAGGTCTGTCATAGGCCCTTCAACGAGGCATCATTGAAACCCTTTTCTTCCATCATATATCCATAGCCTCAGGTATTTCTTGGTATGTAGATCAGAAAGCTAAAATATTTTGTTAACGAAAAAAAAATAAAACAATATGCTAAATTTCATCTTGCTACTGGTATATACATGATATTCATATGCTAAAACAGAAAAATACTAGATAATTGGTTTTGTCTACTTACTCATTCTCCTGCACATGCTGCACGTTGCCCTTTTTCCTGTGTGATTTATCCAGCATGGAAATGTTAACAGGAAACAAACCCTCCATCAGGTCCAAAGCAGTTTTTCTGTCAGGATGAGGCGTGAGAATGTCCACCAGAGACCTGTCTTTGGCCACGATCTCCAGAGCAAGTTCCTGGTCCCGCTGGTGGTGAGGAGGCTGCAGCCTCCTCCTGGGCAGGCGTGTCCCTGTCTCCAGGGGAACATCCTCCTGTGCAGCTGAACCTGTGGCTGCATTTCTGTCTCCCTGGAGAGGCTGAGCCAGTGCTGGGGGCGGGCACATTCCCTGCTCTGCAGGAGCTGCAGGATGCTGCCCTGGATGCTTTAGTGCAGCATTCCCACTCGGACACTGAGTTCTGCATTCCTCCTCCACTCCAGCACCTGCCTTGCTTCCCCTTCTTGGGATAGGAACAGAGGATTCAGGAACCAGCTCCTTAGTATCCTGAAAACATGCATGTCCAGTTATGCCATTATGTCCATGACTCTTGGATCCATCTTTCTCAGGATCATGGAAACTATAAGAAAGAACACAGTGCCTTTTATGTGAGACATTCCCTCTTCAATAGATACTTTTGCAGACTGTTTATGAGCTATGATCAAATGTTTCTGATGTTACAGTTCTGTCTGGAACTTCCTAGTCAGCATGCAAGGAACTGGAAATTTACTGCTAAACTAGGAAATTTAAGAAGAACTTCAAAATATTGCTAAAAATACAATTTTTTCCCTAACATAATCAAGCCTCCAGAAACCAATGGGATATTTTTGAATGACTGAAACAGTGGAAATTCTTTTACTACACAAGAATCAGCATCACTGCCTTGCTGAGACAGAGTTCAGATGGTTTTCTCCTCTGATGCTCCTCAGACCAGCAAAGCAAATATGGAGAGTTAAAATGCAAACTTCTCAGTTAGTGAGTTGTAAACGGCACAGTATTTTTTTCCCTTTCAAAAAGCACACCCAAAGCCCCTGTCACACCACACTGACCACACACTCTTTCCAGGCCTGGGCACACCCGGGCTGTTGGAGATGCTGTTTTCTCTGGAGCTCGGGTGAGGGAGCTGTGATCCCAGAGATCTGACTGTGCAGGGACAGCGGCTCAGGGGCACCCGGCACTCCCAGCTTGTGCTTCACACGGTGGAAGTGGTTTTAAAGACTGCCCCAAATGGGCAATACTTCCATATGGACAAGGAAGGATCCCGAGAGGGGACAGGAGCAGCCAGCCATGGCTGTCACACTTCACAGCCTTACCTGGGGGAGCTGGCACAGCCCTCACAGCTCTGGGACGGTGCTGCTGCACCACTGGCACATCTGCACATGTCCTGGAAGGGAAAACAGCACACTGGGACAAGGGGCACTGCAGGAGAGGCAGCTCTTTACTTACTCATGTGCACACTTCCAGGGACAGAGCATCCACAGCCTCCTGGACAATCTGTGCCAGGGCCTCACCACCCTCACAGGGAAGATTTTATTCCCAGCTTCTAATTTAACTCTGCCCTCTGTCAGTTTGAAGCCTTTCTCCCTCTATTCCTGCCACTCCACATCCTTGTAAAAAGCATAAAGTCCCTCTCTGACTTTCCCATAGGGCCCCTTTAGGTGCTGGATCTCTGTCTTACCCGAGGGGAAGGAGGAGCAGATTTTGATCTGTCAGGAGCTCTTCCTGATGCAGGATCACCTGCCTGTGGGAGCCTTTCAGCTGCAGGACAGGTGCTGGTGCAGGTCCCGTGTGCTCTGCTGGGGTCAGCCCTGTTGGGGTCAGCCCGGCTGGGGTCAGCCCGGCTGAGGTCAGCCCCGCTGGGTCAGCCCTGCTGGGGGTCAGCCCGGCTGGGGCAGCCCTGCTGAGGTCAGCCTTGCAGGGGTCAGCCCTGTTGGGGTCAGCCCCGCTGGGGTCAGCCCTGCTGGGGTCAGCCCTGTTGGGGTCAACCCTGCAGGGATCAGCCCTGTTTGGGTCAGCCCTGCTGGGGTCAGCCCTGTTGGGGTCAGCCCTGTTGGGGTCAGCCTTGCAGGGATCAGCCCGGCTGGGGTCAGCCCTGCTGCTCACACCTGGCGGGGCTGCGAGAGCCAAGGCAGGAAAAACATCGGGCAATTTTTCTCTGGGGAAAACTTGGTGGAAAACCTCATCATTTTGCATCTTCCCGCTCCCACTTGGGTTGGAAATCTTGCCAGGAGGCCCTTTGGGATGTGACAGCCTCTTCTGCAGGGGTGGCTTATGCAGTGGGAGGTGCTGTGAACCCCCTGGCCTTTGGCTGATCTTTCGCTCCATGTATTCCATCAGTGCAGTGTGCTGGATTTGTTTCAGCTCTGTCCTGGAGATGCTGGAACTGGAAAGTGCCCTTTCTCCATTCTCCAGAGCCCTTCTCCTGGCTGCCACTATATCTTGCTCAATGATTTCATCCCTAACTTGACTCCAAGATGCTTCCTTATCCATTAGTTGATCGAGCTTCTCAGGCTCAGAATAGCACAGTTTCTTTTCCTCTTTGGTTACCCTTTTCCTTGCCCCTACTCGACCTGCTTGTGGCTTCTGTATTTCTTCATCTTTATTGAAACTTTCCAGGGATTCTAGATGAGAAGGGGAGCAAAGAACAGGTTTGGGATCCTCGTTTGCACTGGATAACGAGAAAGACCGAAGGTGTTCAATTGACGGCCTTTGAGAGGGTTTCTGTCTCAGTCTGACAGGCAAACTCATCTGTAAGTCTTTTCTCTTAAAGGAGGTTTCTCTAAGAACCTTTTTCTGAGCCACTTTAAGTTTCTCTCTGTAGTCATTCTGGAAGCTCTCCTCTGTGAATGAGGCAGGGCCCCCGAGGGTGGGATCCGGGCTCTGGAGCTCAGCACTGCCCCAGGGGTGCTGGCTGGGCCCTGCACACTGAGGGCTCTCCCTTGGCTTCTCCACACCCTGTGCTGAGGCAGCACAGCCGCCTGAAGGGATTTCCCTCAGTGACCTCCTGGAGTCCTCCTGGCTGTGGGAGAGCTTGGTGGGCTGTGGGACACTGCTGGGTGTCCCCCCAGAAAGGTAGTAAAGCATGGGGGTCATCTGCCTGGTTATCTGTTCACCAGCACGGTCCTCCCAAAGCTGTCTGGAGAGCTGGGTTTGAAATCCAGGGTGGTGTTTCTGAACAGGAGGATCCTCTTGTTCCAGGCACGTGCTGAGGTTGGGATTGCTGTTATTATCCTGTTTTCCTTCCTGGGATTCACGTACTAAGCGAGATGTGGAATCTTCCTTTGGTCTGAAAAAAGCCATTTGGTTGCTGGTATCACAGCTCTGCTTCCTTCCCTGATCCAGCCCCTTGTGCTGAGGGTGCTCTGCTCCCACAGCCTCGCAGCTGCAGCACCCCAGTGACCTCTGCACTCTGGCTTGCTGATCCAGGACTGGCTCCCTGACACCTCTCCCAGTTTTCCCTTCCGAATCATAGCACTGATTTTTGTCTGTACAACTGTTCAGCTTCCTGGAAGCATTTTTTATTGGGAGAGCATTCTCCATATATTGTAAGTCACAGCTGTCCTCAAACACATCCTGGTCCATGTCTGGATGCCACTCTGCACAGGGCAGGTCCTGAGCATGGGGCAAGGGCCCCTTTTTCTGGCTGGGTCCTGGCACAGTGCTTGGCAGAGCTGCTTTGGCAGTTGGATTCTGCACCCCACAGGGACACTGTTTGACTTCCTGTGTATCATTAACAGCGTTGGGGTTGGAATGTGCTGGGTGGTAGGACTTGGAGTTCATCTCGGTGGGAATTTTATAACCATGAACTGAATTATAAGCAGAAAGTATTTTGGGCACATCTGCCACAGAGTCTGTCTTTAAATATTCTTGAAAAATGAATGAAGAAGGTCTGCTGCAAATGTGTGGACTGCTTCTCTTTGTAGGTTGTTGGGGTGGGCTCCACTCTCCATTTCCCCCTGCCTTTAACCCCTGAATGTTTGATACAGATGCCTCATTTGTAGAATCAGAAGAAAGGCCCTTGTTTTCCAGAGTCTTTTCCCCGGCAGGTCTGATGTCTCGCTCTGTGAGTTCATCCCAGTGTTGGCTCCCTGGCACATCCCTGTGTGCCAGCTGACTGTCCTGCACTCCAGGAGCTGGCTGCACCTTACACCCACTGTGTCCTCCTCTGGAATTGTCCCGCTGTCTGGTGATGTTGTAGCTGTCGAGTCGTGTGGGAGGGGAAGGTGGAGGTCCCTGAGTTAAAGTCCCTCTGGTGGGATCAGCTCCACAGCGGTCAGGGAGGCTGGGAGAGCTGGGATGGATGCTCGGGGCTGGTGCCTTGTGTGGCTGCAGGGACCTGAGGTCAGAGGGGGCAGCACTGAGAGTATAAATTCCCCTGACGTACTCCGAGTCCATGTACGGTGCCTGCTCCGGGGGCAAAGGACAACATTCCCCACAGCAGGGGCGGGTGGGACACTCTGGCACGTTGGAGCCCCCTGAGAAGGAGCTGTAGGCAGAGTCTGCCCTCCCAGGGAGGTGCAGGGCATGGTCCGTGCTGCCCATCGACATCACTGGCGACAGACGATGAGCATTGTCAGGGGAGATCACAGGCTCTGCCAGCTCCCCACTTCTGCCCCCTTGCCTGTGAGTCCACCTTTCTATCTCATTCCCAACTGAAGCCATATTGTAGCATTCCCAGAAATCCAAGGCTGATTAGAAGTCCACAACTGAGTCGTTAGAAGAGAACATTTTTCTCTGTATCACATTCCAATAATATCTAGAAGATCCTAAAAAGAAAGAGAAACATGAAAAAACTCAGTGGGAGGATTCTCACTGCACTTTTTCTCAGAGGCTTAAAGAAAGTGCCTTGAGGCTGAGAGAGCATCTTGATGAGACACCCTGATGTCAGTAAAAAGTCACAGCTTTTAAGACAGTCAAATATTTCTGGCTGCAGCCAGGGACCCCCCTGCAAACATAGCCAATGGACGAGAAAGAAGCACCAGCTCAGAGTTCATGTACAACAAATACACCACTTTTGCAGAGTCTGGAAGACAGCCCATGTTCATCAGCAGCACTTGACAGTTCCTCTGGTGGCTGTGCAAGGTGCCCCCAGGTTTACTTCACAGATGGATCTCCACAAGCAGCCCCTCAAGGGGCCAGCAGAAGACACACAGGAGATGCTCCCACCAAGTGTGACCCCCTCTGTCAGCTTCAACCCCCCTGACACACAGGCAGCATGGGCCCCTCAGAAAAGACTGAACCTGGCACCAGATGGGTGCTGGCAAGTGACTTTGTTTAGGAATTCTCATTTAAACCAGCTCTAAAGACTGATTAGTTATTAAATAAAGCAAATGAACAGTCTTGAAAACAAGCTGCTCCAGTGACAGGCCTTCTGAGGAGACACAAATTCTTTCCAGAGCCCTCCAGAATAGTACATGTCTGATTTCTTCACAAAGGTTGAACTCACCAGACCCTAATCTGCCATTTCCAATATCATATTTCTGTGGCAGGGCCTCACAAAGCTGGCAGAAAGAGAGGTTTGAGGGATGATGTTGTTCTTTAATCAAAAAACTTCACATTCCTGCCTTGTTTCAAAGACAGTCCTGGTATCATTCATTTTGAGCCAAAGCAAGAGATGGATAGGAGCCAAAACACACAAGTTAATCTATAAATGAAACTTGGACTGGTGAGACACACTAAATAAATTAACTAGTTTCTGGGAACTGAAAACAGCCTAACACCACACAGTGGGAATTTCTGCTGGGCTTTTTTTTGAAATTTCAGTAAGAAATCAGCTCAAGGATGCCTGGAGAAGTTCTCTCCCTCTTTATAGATTATCTAAACCACAGCTGTGAAATTTCCTTGTGTGTCCCTGAGTAACTGGGTCACACAGGAAACATGAAGGATCAATGGCTGATGATGACATTCCCCATCCTTGTCACCATGGCACATTAAGGACTTTAAGGAAATAAAAACCTTAGGTACCTGGTGAAAGGGACACCTTGGATTTTCTGAAGCCACAGAGCTAAAAAAGCAGGTGAAGGTCGCCCTGCCATTCCTGCAGACTCCAACTGTGCCACAGTTCCACCACCCTGGGCACACACAGTGCCCTGGGGGTCTGTCCCACCAGCCACCCTGGGCTGGGAATGCTCAGCAGGACCTGCAGGGGCTGGGAAGGGCCCGGGATCAAACCCCATGGGAGTCACATTCCACAACAGACCCAGAAGGCAGATTCCTCTGTCATTCTTATCTGCCTTGTTTCAATCAAATTTTTCTCCCAGTGGAATCTCTCCAAGCAGTTCTGTTCCTGACAGTGCTATAAATAGAGCCAAGTCTTTGTCTGGGATGTGCTGGCACAGATCCACAGAAGTTAATGGAGCCACCCTGATTTACAACGAGAAGTTGGCTCTAACTTTTCACAGCAACGTGTAGAAATAGCAGTTGTGGTTTGGTTTATGTCTATCAGTGAAAGTTCTCTTCTGGTTTCCTATTCCAGTGATTCCCAACATCTCTTTTTCCTCCTTATTTCAATCTCCTGATCGTGATTTACAGTGAATTTGGCAATACAGTGAAGAATTTTTGACTCAGGGGGTACCAGAAATAAGAGGAAATATAATTTCAGTATTTTTGAAGACCAAGGCAAGGACCTCTGACTGACACTGAAACACACCTTAGGGAAAATTTGTCATATTTCTTTTGGAGAAGATATTTCCTAAACCTTGGCAGCAGAATCATTGATCTCAACGTGTTTAAAGAACTATGTGAAAACTGCCTTCTCTTTCCCCTGTAAGAGAAAAACATTAATGCACTTACAACTCACCTGACAAAAACAATAACATTATTGTTCTCAGCTGGGAGGTGGCAGAGCTCCCTCAGGGACTGTCTCTGGGCCTCAGAAATGCTCTGGCAAGGCTGGAATACAACGTGCACATTCCAGACAGGCTTGCAATATTTTCATTGCAAACCACTGAAAGCAAGAAGAAAAATGTTAAATTAAAGTCTCTCAGAACCAAACCCAGTGGAAGATGAAGGGAAGTGTATCAACACTTGTGTTAACTTGACTTCCATTCACTGGGTTGTTATATTTACCCCAGTTCTGCCCCGGGGACCCACACAGAGCACAGCCCCCTGTGTGAAGCAGTTTGCAAATATAAAGCACACCCTCTTTGCTTTATCCATCTGACCAGCCAGAGAGATGAGATGAACACACAGAGGAGAAACAGGGGCTCTGTGGGGAATGGGACCTGTCCAGTGCTTCCCTGATGGCTGAGGAAGGACAAAACCCAGAGGACAGAGGACACTGTGCACGAGGCTGGGCTGACTCTGGGCTGAGATAATGATGTCTTATATCTCAAAACAATATTTGTTCCAAGTTTCCACCATAATAATGATAGAAAAAACAAGACAAAATAGTAGTGGCAAGGCAAGGCCAGGAAGTTCCCATTGTGCAGCTCGTGCTGTACAATTTCTCAGCTCAGACACCAGTGCTGGCATCAAAAACTCTTCACCCAAACACTATCAAACAGGCCCCAAGTGTTGAGAGCCAACTTGTGCCCTGCTGAAGTTTCCAGTCCCTCACAGACCTCTGTTAAATACAAGTCACCACATCAACCTCTTCTGTTCTCAGGAAAGGTGGTTTGCATTGCACAACCTGGAATTCTTTGCAACCAGCTTAGAAGGTCAAAGCCTTGTGTCTCTGGCAAATTAACTGTACAGAGAAAAACCAGTGACTCCAGATTGCAGTCAGTTAACAAGTTACCTGTCTTTTAAGGGCAGGATTTCTTCTACTTACACTTTGGTCTTGTTTGACCTCATTTAGACTGTGCTAGGTGCCAGAATTGATCCATAACTCACCTGAGTTACACACAATGCTTGCTCAAACAAGCCATCACCCTTTAGAAACACAGCTATTCTCTTTATGAAGTGTCTGATTTATTCTCAGCAACCCAGGAAAAACACACTCCACACACTATGTTTGTGTCCTTGTGCAGGTCCCTGGAATTACCAACACCACCTTTCCATCAGGGAAGCAAGAATGAGCATTTTCTTTATAAAGACAAGCAAAGTTCAAACCTTCATAGCTCTCTTTCCGTAGAACTGCCCTTTTTAAACAAATGGCTCCGTGACAATAAAGGGGAAACCCACAGCTACTGATCCAGATCAAACCACAACACTCAAACCACTGTTCTCAAGGAGAGCGACAAGTGTGCAAAATGCAAAGCAAACACTGTGACCAACCTACCAATATCATGTCATGTTCATGCCTGTGAATGACCTGTTCCTTATCCAAGGGTAAACACCTGATGTAAATATTAGCTGACATTCTCCAGATTCCAGCCAGTTGCACAGGCTGCAGCACCTGATCCATCTGCTCCCCAAAGATCACCTGAGAGACTCTGGTGTCAGCAGATGATCCCATGGGCTGTCCCAGGGCAGCCTAGAGAGTCCAAAATCCTGGAGAAGTCAGGTCCAGTCTCTGGTATCTCAGAAACCCTCAGCAGGTCATGGGTTGATGATCTGGCACAGGTTCCCAGATCTCCATCCTGATCTTCCTGGACAGACCTTGATGCCCATGCAGAACATGGATGCAGTGACTGCATCTCTGAGACATGAGACATCTGGAAATAAGAGCTGCTCCTTTGACCAGACTGTGAGAGATCCAAAAATTCCAGACAAATGCCTGAAGTCTTCAGATTCCATCACTTTGACATGACTATTGACAGGGTGAGAGAAGTGGAGGGACACCACATCCAGAGAGTGTGTCTGGCTGATCACAATGATTTTCAGCACCACGAAAGCCCCTCTCTTTCTATCATTTCTATCATTTCTCTCTTAGCTACCTTTTTTTTTTAATAGATATTTTCCCTTTATTATTTTTTTCTAGCTTATAATCAACAGATTTGTCCCCTTGGACTTTCAGCTTTAGGTTTCAAACAGGAAGCCAAACACAGCAGATGACATCCCCTTTAGACAACTGGAAAAACACATGTTCTGCTAATCTGTGGTTTTCTTACTAAGGTTTCTGAAGACTCTAAACCCCAAATTTCTCATTCAATGCAATTTCCAGAACTCATGCAGGTAGCTAATGGCTGCAAGGATACAGTGTGTGTGTCAAGAAGGGATCCTGACTGACTGGAAGCTTTGCTGGAGCCCCAGTGCCAGCACTGGTCCATCCTGTCCCTTCCCCAGGTCAGGGGGTGACACCTCCCTGCTGGCCACAGGCACTTCCCTGTCACTCCCACTGGGCTGAGGAAGAGCTGAGGCCCAAATGAAATACTTTCGGACCCAGGAGCCATGGTCTGGTCTCTGGCCAAGGTTTTAATGAGGAAGATCAGGTTTGGCAATTCCTCACAGCCCTGTGTGAGACTTTTCCTGGGCACCCACCAGAGCCTGACCCTTTAATGAGAGCAGTCACCCACCACATACCTCCCATTGTCCTCCAATTCCTGACTTCCCTTATTCAGCCTCAAAAATGTCTCTTGGCTTCCATCAGCATTAGTCTCTAATCTACTAAACAGCACCAAACACTTATTTTTGTTTCTACCTTTGTGCTTCTCAAAACTGCTTTTTCCAGAAATCAGTTTCATCCCAAATGTATTTATTTCTTTCCAGCTGTTTCCATTTCACTCCTTCTTAGTTCATCATAATTTTCCTTTTTTCTTTTTTCAATCTAATCAAGTTCATTTGATGCCATAAATATAACCCCATACTGCTTTTGCAGGCTACAAGAACACCCACAAATATCCAAGGGCTTTAAAGACTTACAGGCTCTAAGGTACTCAAAATCAAAAAGAAAAAAACCTAATGACACTGCTGATTTTTAAATGTATGCCTTTAGAATTAATATAGATATTAATTAATAGAATAAATAATATATATAATGAAGATGTTTTCTCATTTCTACCTGTTGAGTGCTTGCCAGTAAGGCCATCCAAGAAACATCAGAGAAAAATAAAATTCTACAAGTCCCCCTGACCTGCTGCACTGAGCTACCCACAGCTTAGGCAGCAAGTCAGACCCTAAACAGGTGAAATCCAGTTCAACATCTCCTTGCACTGATGTGTAGTTTGAGTCCAGAACCCTGTGAGTTGGTAGAAGTTGGTTAGCAATCTGTGCAAGCAGAGTTTTAACAACATATCCATGATTAACAGCCTGTAATTAGAAAAATCCAAGTGTTTATTACAGACAGCTCCACCAGCTGCCACACATCCCAAACCCAGCATATTCCCAGCACTGCAGAGATCAGAACTTGCCTTTCCCAGCTCTGCAGAGATCAGAACTTGCCTTTCCCAGCTTCATCAGAACTCTGGGAGAGCTGATGCTCACTCAGGTTTATGAGTGACAGTTGTCAGGCTGGAAAATGCCACAAAGTCATCTTATCTCTGAAGAATTGTGGTTTTCTGGCAGCTACACGTGGTTTCTTGTGCCACAGTATGAAACCATTCCCAGCAGCTTTGTGGCTGTCTCTGCCACTGCAGCCCAGGCCCTGACAGCACAGACTGCAGAGTCCAGTTCCTCAGGCTGTAGTGATGTTTTCCACAGACAAACCTGCCATGGGAGCAAACATTCCAGTTTTGGACAAGGATGGATCCAGAGGCACTGGCTGGGCAAGGAGCAATATTTTGTTTGCCTTAATAAAGTGGGATTATATATATATTTATTTATATAAATAAATCTGTGTGCAGATATTTAGATTATGGCTTTTAGATGTAATAAAGATGGATCAAACAATTCATTCTCTGCTCCTTAAATGTACTGAGCAGCTTTTTACTGAGCTTGGCCAGCTTTAGACTGTGTGCTATGAACTTCATGAATGATACAGAAACACATTCCCTTCACTGTATTCCCAAAGTCATCCCCATCTAGGGAATAGCTATGGGTAAAACATTGCACAGAGAGTCCTACCAGAGAGACCTTCCCAGAGGTCAGTTTGGCTCACCCAGATCCTCCCAGAGAACAGGAGCAGGACCCAGCTCCCTCACGTCCTCACCACTCCTCCTAACTACAAATTGAATTTTTTAATACCTTACTACCCTCAGTAAATCATGGAACTTTCAAAGCACACTCCCAGTCTAAAATATCATTAGCAAACAATACTTTCATTTTCTCATAGACAAATTAAGGATTATGAAGTCATATTAATCAATTACTTGATATTTTAAAAAATCCATTAGCTCTTTAACTTTCTTATTTTGACATAGGAAACAGAAACTATTCCTTAGCAGAGGATGTCTGTTTTCAGTCTAATTCATCCAGATGTTAAACATAATTGTGCCTGCCTTTGGGTTGGGGCAGACAGTAATGTCATATCCAGTTACTACAGAACATTCCACTGGAACAAGAGGAAAACACCAAATATACACGAGACATAATATATCAGACTGCTCTGTTCCTTTGGCAAATTATGGATTCCAGTATTTTCCCACAGCTTTCATTTGGACAGGATTCATAAGGGTTTATACTTAATCTCAATAAACATATCACTGGTTTCCACAACAAACAATGAGAAACTGGATTAGTAGTTAAAAATAATCTGGAAATATCCAATAGTTACATTAGTGCAGGTTTAATGGGGGGGGTACTTGGAATCATGGGCATAAATCAAACCCTTGGTCTGCAAAGAGCATCAGAGAATCACAGACTGGTTTGGGGTGGAAGGAGCTTAAAGGGCATCTCATTCTACCCCCTGCCATGGGCAGGGACACCTTCCACTGTCCCAGGCTGTTCCTTTGATCCAACCTGCCCTTGGACACTTCCAGGGATCCAGGGGTAGCCACAGCTTCTATGGGCAACCTGTGCCAGGGCCCCCCCACCCTCACAGGGAAGGATTCCTTCCCTGTATCCCATCCAAGCCCACCCTTGTCCAGCTCCATCCAGACAAATCTGACAGGAGAGCCAGAGGAAAAGTCTGGGGAAAGCATCAATTCCTTCAGTGCTGGGAAAAGGCAGCACCCAGGGCTTTAGTGAGAGCCTTTGCCCAAGCAGGCAGTGCCAGGGCAGGATTCCCCTCTGGCAGCAGGGAGGGGTGGGAGAGCAGTGGCAGCTCACTGGGAACAGCTCCTGGTCACCCCCACCCCGGGACCGAGGGGTTCCCTGTCTGTGGCACTTCATACCCATTAGTCCCCACCTAAACAGAAGGCTGTGAGTTGTTGCAGGTCCACCTTTCTACATTTAATCTGTTCTACAGAAACTTTCTGAGTTCCCAGATCAGTTCCCAAATCCTCCATAACCTGTGTTTCAGCATCAGCCTCAAACACTGCCTGTGCTGGGGGATCACTGAGTGTATTTGTACCAAGGGAACTGTTCCCTGTGTAACAACGTCTGCCTGCCAGACCCCTCACCCCACCTGTTTAACATGGACCTAGATGTTACTTGTTCTAGAAAAAACCCCATAATCTGCACACTCAAGGATAGAGCAGAGCTCCTGTGTTTGTATTAGACTGAGGTGACACTCCAGACTGTCCATGTCCACAGCAGGGATGAGGTTGGTCCCTTACACACTGTGAGGGACTGATCATTTTAGCATTTTAAAGATAAATTTTCTAGTACAAATTCAGTTCTGCCCTTGTCAATTATTTGGGTACATTCACACATTTCCCTAAGAAAATGTCATCTTTCACCCACAGAGATCTCTGAAGTTCAGGTGGCCTGGTGCAATCACGGGTGCCTAAGACAGCTTTCAACCCCAGGTTAGACAAGCCAAAATGTGAGTTTAATATTTTCCAAGGAACACCCTGCTCCCTCCTCTGCTTCTGGGCTGTTCCAGGAGGGAACACGGACAGATGGGAGCACCTGGACCTTGACAGCACGTGCTCTGCAAGGGACCTGAGAGTGAGTCAGTCCTTGCTGGGCAGAAAGGAGGGACAGAAAACACATCACTTGGACACCTGGTTTCCCAGTGTTGTGCTTTCTTCTCCTGCCTCCACCAGCTTCTGCCTGGCTCTGGACAGGCTCTGGCAACACGTGTGACCATCCCTCCAGTGGGACCAGTGGCTGTGCCTGCCCTGTGCTGCTGAGCTGGGACTGGGCACCCTCTGCACCTCCTCTTTTGCTGAGACCTCCCAAGCCACCTGTGAACAGCTCCACGATGCCACAGCACCCCCAGGCTGGCCCGTGTGGCACAGAGCTGGGGCAGCTGGCACAGAGCCACGGGCAGCTGGCACAGCCCGCGCATCTCCAGCACCCAAACCCACATACACCAACTCTGCACTGAACCCTGGGGGTCCAAGGACCTGTGTGGTGTCCTCCAGCTGCTCCAGGGACACTGCTGAGCTGAAGGGAAATCTGCTTGTCAGGATGGAGTGGTGAGATCCCCCCAGCACAGCACGGACAGACACTGCAGCCCCCAGAGCTCTGCACACTCAGCCTCACTGAATCCCCCCTCTCCAAACACACCCCCATCCACAGCTGAGGGAGCAGCCAGACCAGGGACCAGCAGAGTCACTGCTCTCCAGACTCACAGCAAACACAGCATAAGCAACAGAGTAACCAGATGTTCTTTTTCATTCTTTTCTTGCATAAAGCAAATATACAGACAGCACAGCAATTGCCAGGGACAGCATGTACCAGGTACAGGCATCTAAAACACACGCACACTGAACTGATGTTTGGTTTGGTGAGACCCACAGAACTACAGAATGGTTGGGCTGGAAGGGACCTCAAAGCTCAGGCAGTTCCACGGGCAGGGACAGCTCCCTCAGAGCAGTCACCAGGCACCTCCGGCAGTGAGGGCACGGGCACAGCGAGCACAGACAGCGCACACCCTCTGCCTCCAGTATCCTCCTTACAAAACAGAAGCTAATGCTCTGGTTCCAGACTGCAGCTGCGCCCTCGGAAAAGATCGGAAAGTCAGCGAAGCAGAACTTTGGCGTCTCACAGCCTGCAAAGTTGTCAGTGCACTCACAGAACGCGGGGGGCGAGTCCCGTCTCTCAGCTGGTCCCAGGCCGGGATGTCCCCGAGCAGCTCCAGGGGCACTCCCAGCACCCTCCGGCTCCTCGGGCGGCTGCCCTGGGCTGGCCGGGGCTCTGTCCGCTCAGCAGCGCTGGCAGTGGGGAGGGAAGGAGAGCAAACAGTGGGCTGGGCCGTCCCATTATCTCACCAGTCAATCATTAACGACGGCGCTGCTGCTGCCCGAGCTCTTGGCCAGCGGCCACGGCTCCCACGTGGGCACGGCTGAAAAGTTCCATGAACATGCTGCCAAGGCCATAGAGGAGAGAGCAGGTGAGGCCCCTGCGACCCAACACACTCCTGCACATCCCACCCGGACGGGACGGGACAGGACAGCACCGCTCCAGGAGCATCCCTCACATCCCACCGGGACGGGACAGCACCGCCTCAGGAGCATCCCTCACATCCCACCGGGACGGCACCGCCTCAGGAGCATCCCTCACATCCCACCGGGACGGCACCGCCTCAGGAACATCCCTCACATCCCACCGGGACGGGACGGCACCGCCTCAGGAGCATCCCTCACATCCCACCGGGACGGCACGGCCCCACTCCCCCCTCGCTGTGCCTTGCCTGTGGTGTCCCCAGCCCGGGGTCACAGAGCACAGGAGCCCTTGCTCTGGGGCAGTCGGGAAGCACTGCTAACAAAAACTAATTAAATCCAACTGAAAGTAGTTAGATTTAATCCAACAAAGTAGTTAGATTTGATTTTCTTAAAAGATTATGCCCTGCTTCCTGAGGGTGAGAGAAAAAGGGTTGTACAGTGGAAGTTAATGCAGCTCAAGGCAACTCTGAAGCTGTGTTTTATACACTGCAGGGTTTTTTTTGTGTGGCCTTTTAATTATTTGTAAGTGTTTTTTTCTCATAAAAGAGCACAGAAAGCACACAGATTGAGGCTTTCATCTGATTCGTGTGACTGAATCAACTCAAACCCCTGCAATAAATGTTTTCTGCTTCCAAATACATGTGATGAAGCCTCACACAAACATTTTATAATGTCCTTATCCAGTGAGATGAATTCCTGCTACTTCCCAGCTGGGCTTAAAAAATAAGCCGATTTTGTGCCACTATTTTTTCCCCTCAAACTAAGCTGCCAACTGGATAATGCCATGCTCTGTAATTTGTTATGTATTGTCTCTCAAGGGAAAACTGGGCATTCCTCCCACATTTCCTACAGAAATAATCTGCTCACCTGTGGTTATGCTGTTCTCATCTGTTGGAAGGAGAAAAGTGGCCTCCAGTGGGGGACAGGCTGAGCCTGTGGGTTGTGCCTGCCCTCACCCCACTCTCCTGCAAGGCCATGCCAGAGTCATCCCAGAGAGCTTGGAATGGGGTTTAATGCAGGGAATCTGGAGAGGACAGGGATTGTTGTGTTGGGAAAGTCTCAACTCCACATCTCCTGTGCACGAAGAGCCTCTGGAACACCATCCTCTGATTCATGTAATCCATGTTTGAGGTTCTTCTGTGAGCAAACACCCAGGCTCCTCTTCAGAATCCTGCACACAAACGGGCCCTCCCCGAGCCCAGTCTTTTTCACCAGCACATAACGTGGTCAGTAACTTTGCATATGGAAAAGGGCTCCTGGGAAGTTACTCAGTAACTAACTCAGGGTTTAGTCATTGAATTAAATCCTGTTTTCACCCAGCAGTGACTTGGTATCTGATCAACTGCTCTGCCACAGGCAGCGAGGGGACGTTTCCAGCAGTGCAAGAAATGAGAAGGAAAAAATTCTGCCCACAAAGGCAAAGCTGAGCAATCCTCCTGCCAGGGGATGAACAGAGCTGTGCTCTGGGGGCAGAGCTGCCACTCCAGGTGTCCTCCATGCACAGCACTGCACACAAACCTAACCTCAGTCCCACAGGAATAATCAAGGTTCCAACACAGCACATGAGAAAACAGGGAAGTCAAAGCCATCGTGTTCCCACCCTGCACCTCAGAGGGTTCATTCACCAGCTCCTGCCTCTCCCTGACCCTGCAGCAAGGCTATTCCCTGCAGACAGTTTGGTTTGGCTCTGGGATTTGCCACAGATCTTTGTAAGGTTTGGCTTTTATATTGGGAGATTTTTAAAAGACATTTCAACACATCAAAATTGAGTGTCCAGACTTTTCCAGACACAGCACAGTGCCTGGCTTCTGCCTCTGTGAGACAACTCTGCAGATATTCAGGTTCAAGAGCCCTTAAATGAAGTGTCTCCTGTATGTAAACTGGGGATCAACAGCACTTTTCTTACCACACTGCTGTCAGGATAAACCCATTAAAAACTGGGGGGCTTTGAAAACAATCCCCTCCTAACCCAAGGGAAGGCTCTGGGACTCACTGAGTGTCATTCCAGGAGGGCTCTGCAGCCACACTCACACATGGAACACTGGGGAGGGCTCCTTTAGGGCCCTACTCTCACAGTAAATCCATGTTTTACAAGTATTAGCAATTAAACCTTCCCACGAAGCGCTGTAGATTTGGGCTGACTAATTGCCCTTTGCTCCATCCTCAGATTCAATCACTGGTAAGATTTTTAATGACTAAAAATGATTGAATGAGATGGGATGGGGACACCCCAAGGAGAGAATTTACAGCTGCTCTTGGCAATTAAAACCACTAGAATGCATTAGTGTCAGAGAACATGACAGAACCATGGCAGAAACCTCACTCTTGTGTCAGCCACGAGCACTCCACCACCCATTCATCAGCTCTAGGAAATAACCAAAGTGTTCTCAGGGGATCTGCAAGTCACAAAGCTCACTTAGGTTTGATATTGATAAACTTATGGCAACAATAATAAACAGGGCCAAGAGTAAAAACAAACAAGGGGATTTTGTAAAAACAACAGAGTTGAGATTCATTTCAGTCATCCTCGAGTACCTAAACCTTTAGAGTACATTTACATGTTTTCAAACTCTTATTTGCACCCAGAAATACTAATGTACATGGTGGATTTCTTAATTGAGAACTAAGACTTCCAGGCAAGCCTTAATTTGTACAGCTGGTACTTTCAGAGAGGCGTAAAATCTCATGACACTTCCCAGGATATCAGTGGTTGTCATCAGCGTGGCTTTCACTTGCAAGCATTGCCACAGTCCCTGCACAAAACTGCTTGGAACCAGAAAAGAATAATTAGGATTATGGACCAAAATTTGCCTCTTGATGCTGCTTTACAGATCTTCTGCTCAACCTGCACTGTGCTGGGATGTGTCCTGTACTCACTGCAGCTCCTGAAGGCAGAGCCCTGCAGTTCTGGGCAGCCCCTGGAGACACCAGTGACTGACACAGCCAGGGCAGGGGCTGCTCCCTGCTCAGCAGCCCCCTGCATTCTGCACAGCCCCTGAGTGCCAGGGAACAGCACCAACAGCCCAGGAACGTGGGCACACTGCAGGGACAGCAGAGAAACACAACATTCAAACAATTCTCTGTTACCAGAGCCCAAACACAGCAAAGCAGCCACTGGCTGAACCCACAGGGCAGGATAAGGTAACCCCAGCTCCTGATACGAGCCCACATGTCCCAGCCCTGCCCTGCTGCCTTCCCAGCCTTTATCCTGAGGGCTGGAAATCACAGTCCCGAGGGGAAGCAACACAAACACAAATGCTGCCCACAAACCCTCCCATCACCCCGAGGGCTGTTACCTTCAGGGGCTGTTTCATTCCTTGGCATCAGCTGGGACACAGATGGCTGTGCAGTCACTCTGCTGCAGAACTAGGTCAGGGCAGCACAGATAGCAAGGAAAAATAAAAATCCTGGGGTTTAGCCACCAAAACCATCCAAGCAACAGCAGCCTAGTAGACAAAACAATATCCCTGAGCAATCTCATCACCCCCAGACTCTGCAGGTACAGCTGCCCTACCCATTGAGCACCCAGCCAGCAGGGCAGAGGGCTGTGCCATTACACACACACTCATTATTGTTTTACTAGAATCCAATAATTCCTACAGGAGTTAATCCTTCTGCATGACAGTACAGCAAACACAACCAACATTTTTTACATTGCCCATTATGTAGTTAATTGGTAATAGTTCACAGAAAAAAGGTTACATGAAGTCACTGGTATAGTTCTAAGTCTTACTGTTCGTGGATCAAAGACAGGTCCCCGTGTTCCTTCAGTCCCTGCTTGGATACAAAATGTTCTGCAGCCAAAGCAATTTAGAGGAGTTTCCTTTCTCAGGCTCCTTCCAAGGCTGTTTTCCCAGTTCCCAGCACTGTGAGCAGTTGCAAGGAGCAGAGGGAAGCAGCTGTGCTCCAGGGAAAGCACAGTTGCAAAAAATTACCTTAAATTGGTGTGGCTGTGTCAAGTTACCTAAATCTCCCCGGGAGTTTTGGCTCAGTAAGGTTACAGGATTGGTCCCTGGTTAAATATCTAATGGAAGATCATCAGGTGAGAACAATCAAATCACATCTGAAAGCCTCATTAGAAAAGTAAACCAATATTTAGCCAAACAAATTTTGGTTTTCCATCTGAAACCATGCTGTGAGCTCATTTAAATGCTACACCAGCAATGTCTGAGCTCTTTGAAACCACAGGAAAATCTTCAGAGAATATTGTGTCACCCAGCACTGGGACATTGCAGTTTCTGAATCAAGGGGCTGTACCAGCCTGGATAAGTGCTTTTAATTTTGTTCTTTAATACTGTTTCTCAAACCAGTTGAACTTCATTTGGTGACCCCCGGGCCTCAGAGTGGGATCTGCTCAAGCCATTTAAGTGGAAATGAGTCCAGGTTGCTGCTGGAAGGGGAGGGATTGTCTTCACTCTCCCCTGTCCCCACACCAGCCTTGCTGCAGCTCTGCTGAGTGGGTTCAGTTTGCTGAGCTGGCAGAAGTTGATCAGGGTTTTATTTAGTTTTCTGAGGGTTTACTGAGCTGAAAGAGTTAACAGAGGAATTGGGTGAGTGTTGAATCAATGTCAGGACAGAGGAAAGAGGAGAAAGCTGCTGAGCTTCCTTCAGTATAAAAAGGAGTGTGGGCATGGACCATACAAAGCATCAGGGGCTGTCCCTCCCACCTGGGCTCACCTGGGCTCATGGAGGGGTGTGTGCCTGGGACACGGGTGTGCACCCAAACAGATTTACCAGAAATCTGCTCTGAGTC